ACACACACACACACACACACACACACACACACACACACACCCTTTTAAAGTCTGCAGTTCAATGGTTTTTAGTATATTCACAGAGTTGTGCAACTATTATCACTCCCTCGGTTTAGAAAATTTTCTACCCCCAGCCAAAACAAACTCTGAATCTATTAAATGGTCACCCCCTATATCTGTTTAATGCCCAGGGGACACCAAAACAAGTTAAAAAAGGACTGCCTTAAGTTCTAAGTCCAGCACTAGAGAGGTACTAGCTTGCCTCCCTGGTGTACTTGAAAATCTCACAACCTGCTCGAAGTTCCCAGAGGTTTGACTTTGGTATTTCCACATGGTTTTCCTATACTCAGTGCTAGCCCCACCTCTCCAAACAGCAGGACTTTCATCACTGGCTGGTCCAGTATTGGGCCTGGCCATCTATTCATCAAAAACTTGGGCCTCCCGCAATGGTGAGGATGTACAACCTATGGAGGAGTTTATAGATCTATGCAACCATGCAATTATTTAACCAGATGGCTAGGGGAGTTTTGCTACTTAACTAGAAATAATTTACATGTTTCTCTTTAGTTGGTGAGAAGAATTGCAACTTGAATAGGACTAATGGCAAGTGCACTACCCTGGCAGGACACAGGAAGTCAAGGTTTTCCTTATGTAGTTTGTGAAAACACTACATAAGCTACCTTTCTCCTCACAGCTTCTTCACCCAGGAAAAGATGTTGATTTACTCTCACTCATCAATTCTGAGGAATTACACATTTTGCCAAGTGATCCAAAAAGCTCTACCACCATAAACAGTATTCCTTCTTTCTAACAGCGAGCATTTAGCAAAACAAAATGATAGTTTCTTTTCTCTTATTATCCCTCCCCAAGCAGAGTCTTGCACTGTTACCCGGGCTGATCTGTTACCCGAGTGGCGCGATCTCGGCTTACTGCAACCTCCACCTCCTGGGTTCAAGCGATTGAACTGCCTCGGCCTCCCAAGGAGCTGGGATTACAGGCACCCACCACCACACCCAGCTAAGTTTTTATTTTATTTTATTTTTTTGTAGAGACAGGGTTTCACTATCACAAGGTCAGGAGTTTGAGGCCAGGCTGGTCTCAAACTCCTGATCTTGTGATCCACCTGCCTTGGCCTCCCAAAGTGCTGGGATTACAGGCGTAAGCCACTGTGCCCACCTGATAATTTATTTCTTAAATTCAACCTCAAAAAAAAAAAAAATGATGTGATGACTCAGAAATTAAGATCTACAAAATACGCTAGCTGAGAAACAAAGCAAAGCTCTCTTGGGTTGTGTTTCGGGAAGCCATTTCACGGTGTGCTTCAGGGTCTAAGAACACTGATCAAATCATGAAAAACAAGCCAGGCATGTTCTTTCTGAAGAACATGGCCAGAGTCCAATACCTTCTTTCTAAGGTACATAGCTGGAGTCAAATGTTTTCACCAACTTACATTTTGATATATGGACAGACATTAAAGCCAACTCTCTCCAATGACCATACACATGCAGATCTTCAGTAAGGACAAGAGGTACCTGGAAATCTACAGCCTTTACTTCATCACAGTGATTCTGTGCATTAGGCACCAAATGGACAGCAACCTACACACATCAGTATCCAGCACTTCCTGGTTATTTGTTCTCTGGTAACTACCATACTTATTTAGTAATATTTGCTTTAAGTTACGAAAATTAAAATTAATTGCTTTCTTCCTTTTCCATATGCTGAATATCGAATAGTTTTAAGCATGTCGGTCTTCACTAGTTAAAGTTTGTTTTGTTCTTACCTCGGCAGCTTGGGTCTCTTGATGCAGTAATGTAAGACCAGTCAAGTCTTCTAAGAATGAATGTGAAGAATTAAACACCTTGGCTAGGAAATTAAATCCTTCTCGTTCATAGTGATCAAGAACCTATAAAAACATTTTAAACAAATATATTAAATGTAGAACATTTTATATTTTTAAAAAGGAGGCTCCAGACTTAAAATGCAAATTAAAAGACTTTCAGTTCTAACAAGCTCTTGTCAAAAATACAACTAAAATGAGAATTAAATATGGGGATAATAATGCAATCCAGCTGACAAAAAACTAGGAGAAGTTAGTATTTATCAAATCATTTCCCTTCTTAGAATGACAGTAAGATTATTTTCCAGTTCGAGTACCAATTTTTTCTCAAAGTAAGTTTCATGCAAATCACTAAAAATTCTAGAAGGGTTAGGATTAGTTAGTGGCTCTAAAGTTCACTAGTTAGAAAAGAACAGGTGAGAGAAAAGCCACAAAAATAAGTTTAAAAGGATAAATGGGAAGAGAGAGACAAAAGGATTTTGTCAAAAATCTGGCATAACAGCTAGTCAAATGTATGTTTTAAAAATAATTTTAAAATGGAAAAGTAAATTTCAATAGGTACTTCACAAAAGAGGATATCCAACGGGCCAATAAACATGAAAATGTGCTCAATGGCATGAGTGGTTCAGGGATGTGAAAAGTGAGGCCGGCCGCGGTGGCTCAAGCCTGTAATCCCAGCACTTTAGGAGGCCGAGGTGGGTAGATCACGAGATCAGGAGATCAAGACCATCCTGGCCAATATGGTGAAACCCCGTCTCTACTAAAAATACAAAAATTAGCTGGGTGTGGTGGTGTGTACCTGTAATCCCAGCTACTCGGGAGGCTGAGGCAGGACAATCACTTGAACCCAGGAAGCGGAGGTTGCAGTGAGCTGAGATCCCGCCACTGCACTCCTGCCTGGGTGACAGAGAGAGACATCATCTCCAAAAACAACAATGAGATATGAAAAGTAAAACCACAATGAAACACTACTTTGTGCCTATCAAAAAGACTAAAATGAAAAAGAAAATACCAAGTGCTGACAAAGATGTGGAACAATCAGGACTCTCACGGAAGTGCAAAACTGTCACATTAGAAGTTAAATATATATATATATATATATGCCCTATGATACAGCAATTATACTCTGTTTATATACACCCAACAAAAATGTGTATGTATGTGCACCAGAAGACACAAACAAAAGTTTCCATAACAGTGCTATTCATGATAGCCCAGAACTAGAAACACTGAGGTGACCAACAGTAGAATGAACACATGGATTGTGGTATAGTCATGCAATGGATATCAGTGAGAACAAACTAACTTCAAACACAATGTTACACAGAAGGTAGAAACAGTATGTACAATTACAATTATATAAAGTTAAAATGAAACAGGCAACATGAATCTGTGGTGTTAGAAGTAAAGATAGTGGCTATTCCTGGAGAGACTGTAAGGTGCACAAAGGACATTCCAAGGTGCTGGTAATTACTTAGTTATTTACCTAAGCACTGGTTACATAAGGTGTACTTTGAGAATTCATTAAGTTGAACGCTTAAGATTTGTGTGCTTTTTTGGATATGTTATCCTTCAATAAAAAGTCAAAAAATAAAAGGCCCGTACACTTGGGAGGAGAACAATATGAGAACAGTAAAGAGTTCTTAGAAACAAATAATGAGTATCACATTTAGGAATTCAGTGATCACGGGAACTGTGAACTGTAGAACGCTGAAGCAAAATGTCTCAGAAATTCAGAACTCACAAGAAATAAAGAGTTGAATGTTTTAAAAAGATAGCAGACACTAAAGACACATTAAGAAATCAACAATGCATAAATGGACTGAAATGCTATCTGTAACACAAGAGATAGATAGAATTTTTCTCTTTTCAGAAGATGAAAATGCAGGCACCCTTTAATTCAGCAATTCTACTTCTAAGACTTCATACCAATAAAGTTGTATATGGGCACAAAGACTTATGTTGTAAGGATGCTCACTGAAACACTGTTTGGGCCAGGCTCGTGGCTCACACCTATAATCCGGCCGAGGCAGGAGGATTACTTAAGCTTAGGAGTTCAAGACCAAACTGGACAACAGAGTGAGACCTCATCACCACACACACACAAAAAGTCAGCCAGGCGAGGTGGAGTGCACCTGTAATTCCAGCTACTTGGGAAGCTAAAATGGGAGGATCACCTGAACCCAGGAAGTCGAGGCTGCAGTGAGTTATAATTAGGTCACTGCACTCCATCCTGGGTAATAGTCTTGGGAAAAAAAAAAATGACATATTTTGTACACTAAAAGAATGAGGCAGTTCTATAGTACTAATATAAATTGGTTTCCAAAACATAGAAATGTATTTAAAAACCAGTATCCAGACTATGTATAGATAGTATTTGTGTTCAAATAAAGTGGAAGGAGGACACAGGAAGAGGAAGAAATGTATGTACGTACATACTTGTTTATGCATGTATCATCTATGGAAGAATACATCTCTGTCAGAATGCATACACACAAACTGGCATCAATCAAACAGTAGCCTCTGTAGATTCTTTTATACTACTTCAATTTTTAAAACCATGTGCATGTGTTACTTATTTAATATTAAAATTAAATATGCAATATTTACTAAAATAAGGTTGTTTAATATTTAATAAAATTAGTTAATATTTATTAAAATTAAACAAATTATTTAATTGCCACCGGTAATATACCATAATTTAACCAGCTCTCTGTTAAAGGGTAGTGCTTTCTAACTTCTGTTACTGCAAACAGTGTTGTTTTTTTTTCCCCCTCTCTTTTTTTGAGACAGTCGCCCTCTGTCACCCAGGCTGGAGTGCAGTGGCACAATCACAGCTTACTGCAGCTTCAACCCTCTGGTCAGGTGATCCTCCCAACCTGATCACCTTTATTTAATGTTAATAAACATTTATTAAAATGAAATATTTAATATTTCTAAAAGCCAAACATTTAACATTAAAATTAAACATTTTTAAATATTAGTATAAAAATATTAAAATCTTAATTTAGTTGGTTTGTGTTTTTGTTTAATGCTGAAGCAGAATTCTAAAGCACTGATGAAGAGGTTGGCACTGGAAAGGAAGGGCAGCTCTCCCCTAGAGACAGGAATGAGGACGGAGGAATGAATGAAACTACAACAGCGAAAACTGAAGAGGGGTAGGGGGGGACAGGAGAGCTCTAGAGTCTAGATAGGGCAGGCAGGAAGTCCTGTGTGACCCGAGAAGATCTGGGCTATAGGGCTTGAGAAGAGTAGAGACCTTGAGGCCTAGTTGTGCAGGGAGAGCTGTGCAGGGAATGGAAGAAGAGAAGCTGGCTGGCACATTTAAACAATGTGGAACAATCTGATGCCTCTGCTCAGGACAGAAAATAAAAATTTTGGGAGAAAAGAAATTAAGAACTCATCTAACCTAAGGGGCTGGCAGAATAAGGATAAAAGGTTAAGGTCAGAGAAACTGAGGGGCTGGTTAGCACCACCAAAGGGAGTGAGAATGGGTCCTGGCTGATAAGAAAAGACCTGCAGGCTCATGGGATCGGAGAGACTGCAAGTCCTGGAGAGCTAGGGGAGTGGAGGACCTTTATGCAAGTAGAGTCAAGCCCAGGCTGATTAGCCATGGGAAATTAATTTGACAACCTAATGCCTGGGAAAAAAGGCATTTAATAAATAACTCAATTACTAATAATGAGATTCCTTATAAACCAGGACGTTATGTCAGGAAAAAAATGTGCATTGAAATATTTTTTTTTGGAAATGGTAAGTACTATGCCTTTAGTGATCACTTGAAAAAAAGTTGAAAGTTGTGGCAACCCTGCATTGAGTAAAGGAATTAATACCATTTTTCCAACAGCATGTGCTCACTTTACATCTGTGTCATATTTTGTTCATTCTCACAATATTTCAAACATTTTTTCACTATTATTTTATCTGTGGTGATCAGTGATCTCCAATGTTACTATTATAATTGTTTTGGGGCACCACAAACTGCACCTATATAAGATCGTGACCTTAGTAGATAAATGTTGGATGTGTTCTGACCAATTCGCCAACTGGCCATTTCTCCATCTCTCTCTCTGTCCTCGGGCCTCCCTATTTCCTGAGACCCAACAGTATTGAAAGTAGGCCAATTACAATGGCCTCAAAGTGTTTAAGTGAAAGGAAGAGTCACACATCTCTCACTTTAAATCAAGAGCTAGAAATGGGCCAGACACATTGGCTCATGCCTGTAATCCCAGCACTTTGGAAGGCCAAGATGGGTGGATCACTTTAGGTCAGAAGTTCAAGATCAGCCTGGACAACATAGTGAAACCCCATTTGTAGTAAAAATACAAAAATTAGCTGGGTGTGGTGGCAGACACCTGTAGTTCCAGCTACTTGAGAGGCTGAGGCAGGAGAATCGCTAAACCTGGAAAGCAGAGGTTGCAGTGAGCTGAGATTGCACCACTGCACTCCAGCCTGGGCAACAGAGTGAGACTGTCTCAAAAAAAAAAAAAAAAAAAGCTAGAAATGATTAAGCTTAGTGAGGAAGGCATGTCAAAAGCTGGACCTCTTATACCAAACAGCCAAGTTGTTAATGCAAAGGAAAACTTCCAGGAGGAAATTACAAGTGCCACACCAATAAACACACTAAGAAAGTAAAAGAGCCATATTACCAATAGGAGAAAGTTTTAGTGGTCTAGAAGATCATACCAGCCACAATATCCCCTTAAACCAAAGCCTAATCCAGAGTAAAGCTCAAAATCTCTTTACTTCTATGAAGGCTGAGAGAGGTAAGGAGGCTACAAAAGTACAGTTGGAGGCCAGAAGTTGGCCAGTGAGGTTTAAGGAAAGAAGCTGTCTCTGTAACATAAAAGTGAGATGCCTCACACCTGTAATCTTAGCACTTTGGGAGGCCAAGGTGGGCAGACCATGAGGTCAAGATCGAGACCAGCCTGACCAACATGGTGAAACCCCATCTCTACTAAAAATATGAACATTAGCCTGGAGTGGTGGCACACACCTATAATCCCAGCTACTCAGGAGGCTGAGGCAGAAGAATCTCTTGAATCTGGGAGGCGGAGGTTGCCATG